GGGTTATGGCTCAAACCGTTTAGGAATTAGGGGCAAAAAAGTGAGAGAAAACAAGGGTGTCCTGGTTGATGGACAATTACTTAAGTACAAATTACAGTGTAAGGGAGGTAATTCAAACACAACTTTGAATTACCTCCCTAAAACTGCTTTTAAATTATGTATAAAGAATTTTTGTATTGTCTTGAGGTGATTAGCTGTCAATTCATTTTTAGAAGTTACTATTTTAATCATTTTAAAAATGCTGATTAAGGTAAATTAATTTTAGCTATGATTATGCATGTTATGTATGTCATTTTCTATTTTAAGACTTTTATGATGTATTTAAATGGGTTATTATGGTTGCAAACTCCATTGGAAATTTGAATTGAAATTATGACCATGACTGAGGGAAAGAATTTTTTTTTGAAAAAGGGGGGAGGAGGTTAAAAAAAAATTGGGGTGGGGGGACAATTTTTTCTCCTCAAGATTTCAGAAATCAAAAAGAAAATCCTTCAAATTTATTTTTTTTTTTGAAAAAAAGGGGGGGGGGGGAGGTCAATTGGCAACAGCATAGTGTATTGCACAAAAGCAAAAAATTGAATATAAATTCAAATCATATAACCAATTCTAAGTTCTTTGACTTCAGTTATTCTGTGTCAGAAACCTATTATGTGTCAAATATTGAATTACAATCCAAATTCAGACCTGTATCAAGCGCGAATATTGTGTCCATTTTTGCCCCAACTGTTCATGGTTGGAACTCTGCGGTCGTATCCAGCTGCGCTCGGCGAAGCAATTTATTGGTTATTATCTTGAATATTATTATAGATAGAGATAAAATGTAAACAGCAATAATGTTCAGCATAGTAAGATCTACAAATAAGTCAACATGACCAAAATGGTCAATTGACCCCTTAAGGAGTTATTGCCCTTTATAGTAAATTTTTAACAAGTTTTTGTAAATTTTTGTAATCTTTTATAAAAATCTTCTCTGAAACTACTTGGCCAAAGTTTACCAAACTTGGCCACAATCATCATTGGGGTATCTAGTTTAAAAAATGTGTCTGATGACCCGGCCAGTTAACCAAGATGGCTGCCATGGCTAAAAATAGAACATGGGGGTAAAATGTAGATTTTGGCTTAAATCTCTGAAACCAAAGTTTTAGAGCAAATCTGACATGAGGGTAAAATTGTTCATCAGGTTAAAATCTACAAATGTATCTGCCCTGAAATTTTCATACAAATCAGACAACCTGTTGTAGGGTTGCTGCCCCTGGATTGGTAATTTTCAGAAAATTTTGCAGTTTTAACCGTATTTTCAAAGGAAATATCGGTTATTGATTTGGTGATGTACGGTGGGCGGCTGCCAAACAGTGTCCGTTCAATTACATGAAAATGCTTTGATGAAATTTTTAAAAATTTAGATATGTTGTTTCCTGTGACTAAATGAAGGTCAAGTTCAATTTTCACGATTTTAGCTTTTCTCCTTGTTGAGTTATCCCCCTTTTTAATATCCAAAAGTGGTATTTATAATATGATTGAGTTATTTCTCTTTGTACAGAAATGGTTAATTATATATATAAAGTTTGATTACATTAAGTGTTTTTATACGACCGGCAAAAAATTTTGTGGTCGTATATTGGTATGACGTTGGCGTCGTCGTCGTCGTCGTCGTCCAGCGTCGTCGTCCGAATACATATTGGTTTTCGCACTCTAACTTTAGTTTAAGTGAATGGATCTTTTTGAAATTTGACCATAAGGTTAAATACCACAAAAGGAAGGTTGGGATTGATTTTGGGGGTTATGGTACCAACAGTTAAGGAATTAGGGGCCAAAAAGGGGCCAAAAATGAGCATTTTCTAGTTTCCAGACAATAACTGTGGAACGGTGTATGGATCTCTCTGAAATTATACTACAAGTTTCCATACCACAAAGGGATGGTTAGGATTTGCTTTGGGGGGTTATGGCTCAAACCGTTTAGGAATTAGGGGCAAAAAAGGGGGAAAAACAAGGTTGTCCTGGTTAATGGACAAATACTTTAGTACAAAACATAATTTAAAGCAGTGTAAGGGAGATAAATCAAATACATCATTGAAATTATCTCCCTTACACTGCTTTTAAATTATGTATAAAGTAATGGTTAATGAACAATAAAGATAATCTAAAACAGTGTAAGGGAGGTAATCCAAATACAACGTTTTGGTTACTTCCCTTACACTGCTTTTAAATTATGTTTAAAGAAATGCATATTTATAAAGGAAGACCAGTAAAAATATCTGCAAATGTTTTCATCTTTTTTTTTTACAAAAAAATCCATATGAAAGATTTGAGCCTATATTTTTATTAATTCTATTATAAAATAGATTAAGTTAGCACTATGGTAAATTTAAATGGGTAATTATGGTTGCCAACTCCATTGGAAATTTGAATTGAGATTATGACCATATCTTGAGGGAAAGAATTTTTTTGGGGGAAAAAGGGGGGGGGGGGGGGAATAAAAAGAAATTGTGGGGGGCCAATTTTTTCTCATTTCAGATTTCAGAAATTAAAAAGAATTATTCTTCAAATATTATTTTTTTTTCAAATTTCAAATATTGAAAAATTTCAAGAAGTAATCTTTAATTGCACAGTATGGCGCATTAGATTTGTAAAATCTTTGATCACATTTATTTATTTGTTATGCCGAATCTAACAGTGTATTTAGATTTTTAATTTTGGGTCCAGTTTTCAAATTGGTCTACATTAATGTCCAAAGGGTCCAAAATTAAACTTTGTTTGATTTTAGCAAAAATTGAATATATGAGGTTCTTTGATATGCTGAATCTAAACATGTATTTAGATTTTTGATTTTTGGCCCAGCTTTCAAGTTGGTCCAAATTGGGGTCCAAAATTAAACTTTGTTTGATTTCAACAAAAATTGAATATATGGGGTTCTTTGATATGCTGAATCTAACCATGTATTTAGATTTTTTATTTGTGGACCCCGTTATCTAATTGGTTCATATTGAGGTCAAAAGGGTCCAAAATTAAACTTTGTTTGATTTCATCTAAAATTGAATTATTGGGGTTCTTTGATATTCCAAATCTAACCGTGTATTTAGGTTTTTAATTTTGGGTCCTGTTTTTTAAATTGGTCTTCATTGAGGTCCAAAGGGTCCAAAATTAAACTTAGTTTGATTTTAACAAAAATTGAATTCTTGGGGTTCTTTGATATGCTGAATCTAAACATGTGTTTAGATTTTTGATTATGGGCCCAGTTTTCAAGTTTGTCCAAGTTGGGGTCCAAAATTAAACTTTTTTTGATTTCAACAAAAATTGAATATATGGGGTTCTTTGATATGCTGAATCTAACCATGCATTAAGAATTTTTATTTGTGGGCCCCCCTATCAAATTTGTTCATATTGAGGTCAAAAGGGTCCAAAATTAAACTTTGTTTGATTTCATCAAAAATTGAATTATTGGGGTTCTTTGATATTCCAAATCTAACCGTGTATTTAGATTTTTAATTTTAAGTCCCGTTTTTTAAATTGGTCTACATTAAGGTCCAAAGGGTCCAAAATTAAACTTAGTTTGATTTTAGCAAAAATTGAATTCTTGGGGTTCTTTGATATGCTGAATCTAAACATGTGTTTAGATTTTTGATTATGGGCCCAGTTTTCAAGTTTGTCCAAGTTGGGGTCCAAAATTAAACTTTGTTTGATTTTAACAAAAATTGAATATATGGGGTTCTTTGATATGCTGAATCTAACCATGTATTTTGATTTTGGACATTGGACCATAATAGGTAAATTAAAAAAATTCAAGTTCTTAGACCACATTCTTTCTGTGTCAGAAACCTATGCTGTGTCAAATATTTAATAACAATCCAAATTCAGAGCTGTATCAAGCTTGAATGTTGTGTCCATACTTGCCCCAACTGTTCAGGGTTCGACCTCTGCGGTCGTATCAAGCTGCGCCCCAGCGAAGCATTTTATTAAATAATTTTCTCCTATTATCAGATTATGACAAAGCATATCATGGTAAATGTCTTATCTCACAATTATAATTGGAGTGACAGATTTAATTGAAAATTCTCTGTTTCCTAAGTGCTGATGATTATAAGCTATATAAGACTGTATAAATAAAGTAAGAAATTTACTGGACATTTTGTAGATAATTAAGTCTCCCTAAACTATATATATTTTTACCCCCAGCCCCCTTCAATTTGAGAATGTGCTTTTATCTTGTAAACAGTCGAGATCCCCACCCTAAACCATATATATTCTTGTATGGGACAATAAAACAAATCAAATGAAATATTGGGGGAGTCTCCGGGTTTCACCCCACCCCCCTTTTTTTTGAACACTTTCAAACGGTCAAGATCCCCACCCTGAAACCATATATATTCTTGTATGGGACAATAAAACAAATCAAATGAAATAAAAGTAGAGTCCCCTGGGAACTTGGCAATATGGCCAGTAAAGGGAGGAAGGGTCAAAACCTGTCATAAAGGCTTGCAGTTATCAAATACTTAACTAATGCCAAAAGAAAACACATGCTTACATGTATCTCATTTAAAGACTCCTTAAAGTTCCAAACGTAATACAACAATCATGTCATGCATGATAAACTGTTGGAATATATTTCATGTCTCAAAATACGCGAGGGGCCTCGGTGGCCGAGTGGTCTAAGTAGTTCAACTACTGTAATCACTAGCAAGTCAACACTGAGGTTATGAGTTCAAACCCCACTCGTGCCGGTGCACTCGACTTCAATCTTAATTGACTAGGATTGTCAGTTTTCCTACTGAAGGTCAGTGGTTTTCTCTGGGGACTGCGGCTTCCTCCACCAATAAAAACTGACCACCACGAAATAGCACAATAGTGTTGAAAGTGGCGTTAAACACCAATCAATCAATCAATCTTCAAATTACACGAATAAGTCTTTTATTATAAGAAGATGGTGTCAATAGTTGAATTGGGGTATTTCAAAAAGATTGCTGTACATAAAATTTGTCAATGACTGTTTTTATTTATTACAGGTATTGAAAGTCCTTGTAATTGGTAACAATGTATAATGGTATAGGGTTAACAACTGCCAGAGGTAGCGGTACCAATGCTTACGTTCAGAAAAATCTCTCCTTTGTCAGAAACCACAAAGACAGGGTAGACTACAAGTCAGAGGAAGAACTGAAAAAGTTGGAACAGTCCATGATAAAACAGCCAAATAAGGAGATACTTGATCATGATCGTAAACGAAAAGTGGAACTGAAATGTCTGGAAATGCAAGAATTGATGGAAGAACAAGGGTAAGGCTTGATATTGTTAGAAATGATTTGTTTTATATATGACCAGATGATTTTTCCGTTTGTATTGTATTGGTCTGTTGAAGCTATTTTTCATCCATAAACACAATAACTTTAGTTATAGTAAACCAGCCAAATGAAATGTAAATTTATGCAATGTTTATTGGCACAAATTTAAAGAACTGTTACCCTATGTTTATGAAAAAAGATGGAAAAAGCTTTCACTATTTTTATTATGTACATTTTTTAGAGACTGCCTTTAAACATGCTTCCTTTTTTTCAGTTAACATTTATTAGTCTATTGGTGTTAATGGTAATTGCAGAGATGATCTTTTCATTTATTTCACTGATTTCAATTGTTTTGCTTCTTCTTTTAGTTTCTGGACTAGTTTAACCTACATGTAGTAGAAAATGACACATGTATAAATAGGGATTAAGGGGTTTTCAGATCTATGTACAAATGTAAATGATTCTCAGATAATTTTATTTCAAAAAAAAATCTTCTTAGAACAAGGGATGTCCATTACCATAATTACAAGTGTGATTTCTGAATTTCAAATATTTTTTTTTTAGATAGTTTGTATGGTAGGCACACATAACCATTTCATACATCTCTTAGAAACAGCATCTAATTAAGTTGTTATTAAACTTTAAAACTGTCACAATCAACAAAAATAATAAGTCTTCATAGTTTTGAATAGGTTGTAATGTATATATATCATAAGTTATTGTTGAAAAATGATATTTGAGTTGTCTTCCTTTGTTAAAGTTTTTAACACCATTGTATCCTGCTTAAATTATTTGATTAAAAACTGTTTCATTATTTGCAAATTTGAAGGGTCATTCAATTAGATTGATTAAAATACAATTTTGAAAAATTCTATTACAAACTTTACCTGTTTTAGGAAAGGTCAAAGTTGATAAAATTCTGTCACTTCTGACAATATTTTAATGCAGATAGAAAAAAGTTTAAAAAGAATTTATACATGTATGTGTTAGTCAAATTTCAAATTTCATAAATGACATGAAAAAGTGCAAGTCTTACAAACTTCTTAGGTACAAATTTTATTTTATGGCTTATAAACACTTATAATTTTAGATGCTATATAAACTACACCACAGCTAAATGAAAATCAAGGTCTAGGCTAGTTATGTTGAACTTAAGGTGGCTCACCCCAATAAGGACCCCCGGTAGAATTTTTTTATTTTCACATATTTTGTAGATTTTTTTATGCTGAATCCAAAAATGCAAAGAAAAAAGGGGGTCACCAGGCTCGTTTTCCCCTCAAATGGAAGCGAAATGTGCGATTTTGACCCTATTTCCAAACTTTTACACCCTTTCAACAATAACAACTACATCAAATTCAAAGACTTTTAGAACCATGTCAGTATGATTATTATGTGAAAAAACAATTAAATTTGAAATGTAAACATTCCCCTTGGTTGTTTTAGACTTAAAAATCATTTTATTTTCAGATTTATGTCTAAATTTGGCATTTTTTAATTTCAGTTTAAGGCTAAAAATATTGGTTAAATCGATTTTTCGTAAAATTTCCCCGGTAGATTTTTTTTAAAAACGGATATGTCAAAGCTATAAACTTTTCGAACATTTTAAGGTAAAATAAAATGGGGGTCACCAGGCTTTTAAAAAAGTTACGAGCTTTTGTTCAACCCCTCTACCCCATGAGGTCTGATTTCAATGCACTCCATTAATTACTTTATTGTGATTTTTTTATTGATGTCTTTAAATAAATAATGTTTGTAATTATATCAATGGACGAAAGCTGAATATAAATGTGATGAATATTTTACTGTTTGTTATAAAAAAGCGAAATTTTGATTATTTTGGTGAAATACGGTAATTTTTCTGGCGCGAGTTGCTTCCCTCTAATCTGGCGCCATAATCGGACAACAGAAATTTCAGGGTCGCCATTGCTGAGCAGCATACTGCACTGATAAATACGACCATGTGCATGAATAACAGACATAGTGGCGAATAGACAACGATGAAGGTAGAGTCATTACATAAGAAAACATAAATTTTAATATATTAGACAGCCAAATGTTATCAGTATCACGAAAAATACAAAGTGGGGGGTTATCTCAAAATACTCGCTACTGTAGAAAATCACTGCGGCTGAAACCTTGCATGGGCTAAATTTCTGTTCTATGTATAATCTTTATGGCTGGTATCTTATTTATGTGTTTACTTGACCCTTAACCTGTAAACTGGCAAGTTGTGAACATGTATGGCCTGTTTTGAAAAATATCCGTGTCAAACAGTCAAAGAGGAGGGGATGGTCATTTTCAGCATCTCATGACCCCTCTCATGATCTGCGCTACCGTTAGCGTCAAATGAGTCTTGATTTTATATCGTCATTCGTAAAATTTAATTTCGTAGCCACGTTAGGGTCAAATGAAGTTAAATATTTATCGTTATCGTCTATAATGACTAGTAAAACAGGTTTGGAACAAACCCTCTATATGGTGTTTATACCTGTATAGAGGAATAATCCTTCTATAGAGGGATAAAATTATTCCTCTATAGAGGGGTATTTTTGTTTAGACTGGATTTAAAGCAAAATAGGGCAGAATGGCATTTTCTACTTATTATGGCAGTAACCTGCTACATTTGATGCACCCCCCCCCCTGTCTCTTTTGTATAAAAAATTTCATAACGTCAAGTATCAGGTTTAAACATAATACACGTAGTGCTCATGTTGTTTACCAAATAACACATACATTTGAGTTGAAAAATTCATTATTGTTTTGTGCTTAGTATTTTTAACAGAAAAATTTGTATATCCCCTATTCCAAACAGGTTACAAGACACCTCAGCATAATTTGGTTGACGAGGAGTACAAATGAAGCTCAGCTGCATTTTAGAATTTTTAGGCATAGAAATAACTTGTCCCTGGCATCAAACAGCATGCCCCGAGAAGTCTGTATTCAACATATATATAAAAACAAAATCACTATTTACACTTGCTGTGCATGTAATTTTATTTTGTTTGCTCATTATTGTTGCCACAAATTCTTCATTTTTTTACGCCGTAATGGAGTGGGCATTAAGTTTTACCCTTGCAATTGTCTGTCTGAACGTACGTCCCAAAATTGGTGTCCATTCTCTAACTTCAGTTTGCCTCAACCAAATGTTATGAAACTTATACACAATGCTTATTACCAACAAACACAGCTTTGAATTTTTTTTTGGTGGTGTCACTTTTACTGTTCTAGAGTTATGCCCCTTTACAAATGGAAAAATTGCTGATTTTTTTGTTTCCTTTCTCTAACTTTAATTTAGTTTGCCTCATCCAAATGTTATGAAACTTATACACATTACTTATTACAACAAAATTCAGATCAAGTAAAACTTTGGGTAGTGTCACTCTTACCGTTCTTTAGTTATGCTCTTTTATAACTTTATATGCAAGTGGGGCATCATCTGTGTCCCATTGACACATTCCCCATTTATTTAAAATATGAACTACATTATGCTTTTAAATGTCAATCATGGTTGATTTTCTGACAGAATTACTCTGACATTTAATTTCAGGCTTCAAGTACATGTAAGAGGAAGGAGTGATTTGTTGTGAAAGATCCTGGAATGTTCAACTTTACTTGGAAACTATTGGCAAAGAACTGACAGAATTTACATGAGAAGCCAGTATCATCTTGTCTTGCAATTGGGAACTATATGTAAAGTGCAGAAACTTAAGAACAACATTAGAAGCCAAGATCAACAATACTTGGAACTACATGTATAATCAAAGTACTGTCAGAATCCATATGAGAGAACCCAAGATCATCTACACTTGGTGTCTATATGCAAAGTGTTGTCAGAATCCACTTAAGAAGCCAAGATCAACTATAATTTTGAACTATATGCTTTAGTGCTGTCAAAATCCATAAAAAAAAATCCAAGATCAAAAGGACCAACTTTACCTACCTGTCCCAATGATGAATACAGATTATTGAGTCTTATAAAAAACACTGATGAAGAATATTGATATAAAAATAATGAAAATATTGAGCTGATCAGCTAATGATTATACATGTACATGATGTATACATGTCAACAATAACTAGTATATTGAAATTTACAATGCTAATAAACGTTTTATAAATTTGATCTCATAGACATTTTAGGAATAAAAATCAAAAATGTTTAAAAAAATGAATTTAAATAGAGCTGAATTAATTTTTTTTTTTGCTGTCTGTAGTGAATTTTGCTGCAAACACAATTCATGATATGCAAACTGCAATATATGCAGTTGTCTGTAATACAGAAGGTAGCTATGAGATTTGTAAATTTTGGAAATCATAATACCAAGTGGCAGTTGTGGTAAATGCACATGCCTTTGCCTCATCTTTTACCTCACCAACCCCTGACCTAAATGGCCACTTGAATTATTTTACATCATTTGGCATTTGTTTTCCATCCATATGCTATTCAGTTTCTATTTCAAACGTTATATTTTCTGGATAAAAGCAGAAATAAAATACAGTTTTGTTCAATGAGACAGCAACCAAACAAAACAACCAAAAGAATTATATATTGTCTGGGAAAACTTGTGTCTCACTATTAACTGACAACATTTTTACCTACTGTAAATTCAGAAATTATTGCGTTCATTTATTATTGCGATTTTTGACGAATGGACTTAATTGCGAGTTTAATTATTGCGATTACAAAAAAAATCTGCATAAACATCTATAATTCAGTTATCAGAATGCAAGTTCTTATTATTGCAATATTCACCCTGTCGCATTATTTGCATTAATAATAACCTCACAATAATTTCTAAATTTACAGTATCACAATGATCCAGATTAATATTGTTTTGTAAATTTAGATATGCACTCAAATTAATACAGATTGCTACAAAGATCTCAAGCATATTTCATGGATCAGTGATCAAGGTTAAAGTTACCTGATTAGGGTTGTTTATCAGATACTGTTAGCAATAGGTCATTTGTCAATGTCATGTTTTTGTGTTTTT